TTATCTGGTTTTGGGATTAGGATAATGCTGGCCTCATAAAAAGAACTTGGAAGTGTTCCTTCCTCTTGGATTTTTTGTAATAGTTTGAGGAGGATAGGTGATAGTTCTTTGAATGTTTGGTAAAAGTCCCCTGTGAAGCTGCCTGGACCTAGGCTTTTGTTTGCTTACTGCTTCTAGTTCATGAGTTGTTATTAGCCTATTCAGATTTTCTGATTCTTCCTCATTCAGTTTTGGGAGATTGTATTTTTCTAGTAATTTGTCCATTTCATCCACATTGTCCCGCTTGTTGGCATATAGTTTTTCATAGTATTTCCTTACAATTCTTCTATTTCTGTGGTGTCATTGGTTACTTCTCCGCTTTCGTTTCTGCTTTTATTTATTTGGGTCCTCTCTCTTTGTTTCTTTGATGAGTCTGGCTAATGGTTATCAATCTTGTTTATCCTTTCGAAGAACAAGCTCTTGGTTTATTGATTTTTCTGTACTGTTTTTTTAATCTCTGTCATTTATTTCTGCTCTTATCTTTATTATTTCTTTCCTTCTACTTACTCTGGGCTTTTCTTGAGTTATTTAAGTTGTAGGGATAAATAGTTTATTGTTAATTTTTCTTGTTTTTATTTATTTATTTATTTATTTATTTATTTATTTTGAGGTAGGCCTGTACTGCTATGACTGCTTTTGCTGTTTCCCAGAGATTTTGGGTTGTTGTGTGTTCATTTTCATTTGTTTCCAGGAAGTTTTTGATTGCATTCTTGATCATGTTGGTAACCCATTCATTGTTTAATAACATGCTATTTAGCCTCCATGTTTTTGGGTGTTTTCACTGGAGTTGATTTCTAATTTCATTCTATTGTGATCTGACAAGATGCTTGCTATGACTTCAATCTTCTTGAACTTGTAGAGACTCATTTTATGTCCTAACATGTGGTCTATCTTTGTGAATGATCCATGTGCACTTGAGAAGAATGTATTCTGCAGCTTTGGGGTGAAATGTTCTAGAAATATCAATTAAATCCATCTGATCCAGTGTGTCCTTTAGAGTCACTGTTTCCTTGTTAAGTTTTTGTCTGGAAGATCTATTTAGTGTAGTCAGCGGGGTGTTGAAGTCTTTTTATATATTTAGGTGCTCCTATATTGGGTGCATATATGTTTACCAGGGTAATATCCTCTTGTTGGATCGTCCCTTTAGTATTATGTAGTGACCTTTGTTGTCTCTTGTGATGGCCTTCATTTTGAAGTCTGTTTTGTTGGATATGAGTATTGCTACTCCAGCTTTTTTTTCTTTTCCATTTGAATGGAAAAATTTTTTCCATCCCTTCACTCTCATCTTGTGTGTGTCTTTTGTTCTGAGGTGGGTCTCTTGTAGACAGCATATAGTTGGGTCATGTTTTTGTATCTATTCAGCTATCCTACACCTTTTGATTGGAGCATTTAATCCATTTACATTTAAGGTTATTATTGATAGGTACTTATTTATTGCCATTTTAATTCTGTATGGCTAGGTTTCTCTCTCTGGTTCTTCTCATTACAGCAGTCCATTTAGCATTTCAGGTAATGCTATCTTGGTGGTGATGTACTACTTTAGCCTTTTTTTTTTTTTTTTTTAATCTGGGAAGCTCTTTATTTGACTATTTTGAATGATAGCCTTGCTGGATATAGTAATCTTGTTCTCAGATCCTTGCTTTCCATTACATTGAGTACTTCATGCCATTCTTTTCTGGCCTATAGAGTTTCTGATGAGTAATCAGGTGTCAGCCTTATGGGAACTCCTTTGTAGGTAACCTTTTCTTTTGCTGCCTTTAAAATTCTCTCTTTGTCTTTAATTTTTGGCATTTTTATTCTTGCTTGGGGTTCTCTGTGCCTTCTGAACTTGTGTGACTTTTTCCTTTACCAGGTTAGGGAAGTTTTCTGCCATTATTTCTTCAAACACATTCTCTATCCCTTTATTCATGCACTCTTGGTATTCAAGTATTGTTACATTTCACGTTGTCCCACAGCTTCCTTAAGCTGTCCTGTTATTTAATTGATTTTTCTTTTTGGTTCTCTGATTGAGTGATTTTTTTCAACCCTTCTCCAGGGAGTCTTCCATTGATTACTCAGGAAGTTTTTCTGTATTTTAGTTGTAATTCCAGTTTGATCCTGGGAGCATGTCCATGTAGCATCCAATTACTCCGCCACCATTTTTAATCTCTGCCTTTATTTTAAAGAATAAAAAAAATCTTCTCTTTGAATCTAAAATGTGATGATTACTAATATTTGTAATTAAGTTGATGAACTCAATGAATATATTTTCATATCATTGACATTTGTATTTTATATATTCCATGGAAAGAACATCTTTATTGGATCTCAAATTAACTTTAAAAGAAAGTGTTGACTTTAGAAGTTCTTATTTTAAAAGTAGTGGTAGGAGTAGTAGTAGTTGTAGAGAAAAATCAGGAAAATTGTAGTTCTTTTTAATTTTGAAATTTAAAATATTTAAATTCTAGCCACTTAATTTTATATGAATGGATTAATCTTTTTATTAATATTATTATTTTTTTTAACTTAGGAGGATGATGGAATTCCAGTGCATCTAAAGGGTGGGGTAGCTGATGCCCTCCTGTATAGAGCTACCATGATTCTTACAGTTGGTGGTAAGACATTTGGAATGCTTGGTTTATAGAAAAGTAATAGTAAGGATAACTAACAATTTCATTGCTTTTACTATACCAGTATTTTTAAAATATTATTTCTTATTAAATTCATTGGGATGTCATTCATTAATATTATATATTTCAAGTATACAATTTTATAATACATCGTCTGTATATAGCATGCTATGCTGGTATTTTAACACAGGCACTCTTTCTCTAGAATCTGAGATCTTACTGCTTTGCTCTAAGGATTCAAGAGGGTGATTGGTACATATTGTATAAGAACATTTTAATGTCTTTAACAAATAAACCAGTAAAGTTTGATGATTGGCTTTCCATGTGCCACTGGTGGCCCTGCAGGCCTTTGGAGGAATCGAAGGCATCTACTCTACCCCATCTCCTGTAAGGGGCTTTTAAACATTTTGTGATACATAATAAAAAAAATTTTACATCTCAATTTTGTACACACTTATTTATGACAAAACCAGTGCAGACCAATACTTATTATTATATGCAAAGTGCTTTGACATTTTTTTCTGTGGATTGGGCAGGTCCATTATTCAGTATTAGCAGTGTAATACACAAATTGGTATAGTAGGAGCAGAGTTATAAATTTCTAGTTATTAGCTATTCTTGGTTATTTTAAAATTATATATCATGTTCCTTGGTTTTACATTGGCAATACACTTTAGGGAAAGCTTGTGTATTTTTACCTCTTGTTGGTTTTTTAATCATTCTTAGCTTTCTCAGGCATTCTTAGATGAGTATGGAAATTATCTTTATATATGTTCTTAATTTTATTTAAACATTTTTGTTTTTAAGATGACAAATACATTATTGCACTGTCTAGCACTTTGTGTAGAAGTTAAGTAATATTGAAACTAGAATAAATATTAATATACAGGGTGACTTAAAAAATGTATACACATTTTAATAGCTGATAGGTCAATTTTGAAAATGAAATTAAAATGTATTTTAATAAACACTGCCTGTATAATTATTCAAAGTATGCGTATACATTTTTAAGTTCTTCTTGTGTTTCTTTTATTTTTTTAGGAACAATTTATGCCATATATCAGCTGGCTTTGGCTTCATTTCCAAAGAAGCAGGGTTGACTTCAGTTATCCTCCCAGCAATCAGCTGGTTCAATTTCATTCAGCTCTCTATGGACCAGTAAGCTGACAATAACTGAGTTCTTCTTTGGGATCAATATTTATTGACTTGTACTAACTGCCACCAATAAAGCAATCTTTACCATGCTTTGTCTTATTTTATCACACTTTAATATAAATATACCAATAATTATTAGCTTTTGGTCAGTATTATAAATTTTAGATAAGGAGCAAAAAATTATTCTTTTGTCATTAAGGTTGTATAAAGTACCATAGTGATTTTTTTAGTGAAATTTTATTTTTAGCAGCTCAGAATTACACAATGGAATAACCTTCAGCTTTAATTGAGCTTGAAGTCCTGCCCCCAATCTACTATATCCTGGGATATGCTAATACCTGACGTTAGTGGAAGCAGGCTATTTTCGGTGCATGGGGTTCAAGTTTTTTGTGTGTTTTTTTCCCTTTATTAGCTATGTGAATGTATAGTTAAATACTGGTTGTAATCTATGGTTTAGATTTAGGCTTTAGTAGAGTAACTGAAATAATTTAGTGTTTATTTTTTTCATACTCAGAATGGGTTTCTATTGTGTTTCTTTAATCATAACATAAAGTGTAACTTTCCTTAAATACTTAGTTCATTTCTAAAAGTTATCTTCTCAGGGAAGATTAAGGAGTTAGACTTTGCCATCTCTGCAAGGTGTACATTTATAACACTATCTAAAGATTATAGTCTAGATGCATCAGATCTAGGGGAAATCTGTGAGTGAGGGTTGTATAATAAATTGCAGTGTCTGGATGAAATTGATAAAAGTAATGTATTTAGAAAATTGAGTCAAATCTGAAATAGCCAAACTAAGCCTTTTCCTATTAAAACATTGAGGCTTGGGCTACATATCCATCTCAAAAGGTACCTAAGGAAAGGTTTTTCAGTCTTGAATCTTCAAGGTTGGAAAAGGTTCTTGGTAGCCATATTATAAAACCGGCCACAAAATGCATGAATCTTATATCTATCATCAGCAGAGAACACTGCTTTTGAAGGGAGTGGAGAAAATACCATTAGACATTTCTAAATGCTGAGAAAGTTCTTAAGATGGTCTGGTATCTGGTTCAATTCAGTGATTCAGAGCTATAAAGCAATCATTGATAATATTTTAAACTAGAGGCCCGTTGCACGAATTCATGCACCAGTGGGGTCCCTCAGCCTGACTTGTGGGGTCGGGCTGAAACCGGCTCTCTGACATCCTCCAAGGGTTCCTGGATTGCAAGAGGGCACAGGCCAGGCCAAGGGACCCCACCGGTGCACGATTGTGGCCGGAGAGGTATGCGGGAGGTCAACCACTAGGTCAGACACTTACCATATTAGGCTTAGAGAGAGAGAGAGAGAGATTGTAATTCACAGTGCAGAATGCTCAGCACACACTTTCCCTCCAGCCCCTGGTCTTGGAGACCTCATGTCCTTCCAAGGCTCTGCTCACCCTCTTCAGCTGCCGCCCGAAGTAAATTGCATCGTGTGCGTGGAAACCCTTTGCAGGCTCCATGGGTGTGTCTTTACTTCGCTGCAGTTCTGATTACTCCAACATAAGGAGAGACACCCTCATTATCAGGTAGCACCATCGTGGTAAGACCCCTGCTCAGCCTACTACAGCGGTTTTAAATAGCCCATGGGTCGCCCTAGATGGGTTTGCTCAGTGGGTAGAGCCATGGCCTGCAGACTGAAGGGTTCTGGGTTCAATTCTGGTCAAGGGCACATTCCTGGGTTGTGGGCTCAATCCCCAGTAGGGGGAGTGCAGGAGGGAGCAGATCAGTTCTCTCTCATCATTGAAGTTTCTATCTCTGCCTTCCTCTCTGAAATCAATAAAAATATAATAAAAAAATAAAAATAGGCCATGAATCAAATGCTGCTCTTTATCCATCCAGTCCTCCCTCACTCTCTTTTCCCCCCCCCCCCCCCCCACCCACTCTGCTGGGGTCTGTAAAATGGGGTCAGGATTTCTGCTTCCACACAGCCCTCCTTCTCTGCCCATCTCTGTCCCCAGTCATGTGGGGTCTCTCCCTCTGTCCTCTCCATATAACTTGGTGGGCCCTGCTCTGCCCCCCTCTTGTGACCTGTCTGCAGCCTCCCCTGGGTGGAGCTCCCCAAAGGCGGGGCGTGGCTGTGTGGGGCGGGGCTATACAGGGTGAGCTCAGGCTGGGTCTCGGAGGAGAGCTGGGGTGAGGGACACAGGGAGGAGGGAGGGACGTGGAGCCTGTCCCGTGGGAGAGGCAGTGGGCTCCTCCACTCAGCAGCTTTTCTAGGCCCCTGCACAGCTGTCGCCCTCTGCCCTTCACTACCTCCCACTTCCTTTCAAGTTTTGGACTCGGTTTCTCCGACTCAGCCCCGCCCCAAGAGCCCGAGGCTGCCCCTTGGCCTCTGGC